GGGCTTCATTTGCATCTTGCCGGGCACTGCCATTTTTAAATCCCCCTTAGTGCGGACTCCGTGCCCGCGGCTACACGCAGCATGGAGTAGTTAGTTTGAATTAGGCTCTCTAATTCGAACTACCGTTACTCCTCGTGGAATGAGGCGTACCAGTAGTTCGAATTAGAGAGCCTAATTCGAACTACCTACTCCATGCCTCGTGTAGCCGCGGGCACGGAGTCCGCACTAAGGGGGATTTAAAAATGGCAGTGCCCGGCAAGATGCAAATGAAGCCCGGGTTATTTAAATCCCAGGCTTCATTTGCAACTTCGAATGCCTACATTAGCCACCCTAGTTCGAACTAGGGTGGCAGTGTAGACATACCCCTACTGAGTTTATTTCTCTGCCATTTTAATTAGCAAGAGGATAAGTGACAAGGAGTCTCAGTCCAAGTGCAAATCCTTTTTCTAAGAGCTCTTTTTAGATGATTCTTCCTTATTTAAGTGTAGGGTGAGTGGCTTGTGCTTTAATTGTAAATGAATAGTTCATTTCATCTTAATTCTAGTCTATTTTTATAATTGTCACTGGGTGCAAGATTTGATAATTATAATAAATCTAAGCCTGGAAAACCCTGAAAACTCATGAAGTGCTTCTGAATAGTGCCCCAGATATCTTCCTTGTTAGCTGTTTTAGTCCCTCTCGGTCATGTGATTTGTGGACCAAAATGGGGTGCGTATTGTTTACCAACAGGGAAGAGTAACAGTCCGGGGGTTACTATCACAATAGCTACAAAGAATATTAATAAGGAAGTTTGATCTCATTGATTGGCCACGTAATGATGCAGACAGATGGAAAGCAAGCAAAAAGGTGAGTCGTCAGACTGAGCAGCTGCTCTCTGGAGATTCCCATTCTGTGCAGAAATGATGCAAATTCAGCTTTTTTTGCAGTATTCCAGCACTTGCAGTCTGGGCCAGAGCCAGGAAATGCCTAAGTGCACAAGAATTGAAGACAGTTTTGCCAAAAAGAAGCAATTCACACGTTTCCAAATTTCAAAGATATGCTAGGTGTTGGGCACTTCTGAATTTGTGCAGCTACAGTGTAACTAGATAAAATGTTGTGGATCCCTCCAGTACGTTTTCTGAGAGTTTGTTTCAGCTCTCATAGGATGTGTCTAGACTGCATCCCTTTTCCGTAAAAGGGATGCAAATTAGACACATCGCAATTGCAAATGAAGCAGGGATTTAAATCTCCCCCGCTTCATTTGCATAAACATGGCTGCCGCTTTTTTCCGGCTCGGCGCTTTGCCGGAGAAAAGCACCAGTATAGATGCGGATCTTTCAGAAAATAAAGCCTTTTCCAAAAGATCCCTTATTCCTCTTAAAATAAGGAATAAGGGATCTTTCGGAAAAGGCTTGGAGATCTTTTGGAAAATAAAGCCTTTTCCGAAAGATCTCTTATTCCTTTTTTTAAGAGGAATAAGGGATCTTTCGGAAAAGGCTTTATTTTCCAAAAGATCCCCGTCTAGACTGGCGCTTTTTTCCAGCAAAGCTTTGAGTTGGAAAAAAGCGGCAGCCATGTTTATGCAAATGAAGCGGGGGGGATTTAAATCCCTGCTTCATTTGCAATTGCAATGTGTCTAATTTGCATCCCTTTTACGGAAAAGGGATGCAGTCTAGACGCAGCCATAAGTTTTTGGTTTCAGAGGCAGAATTTAATAGGATTAACAAACGGTCAATAAGTGATATAGAAAGATATTTAAGTCTAAAGTCCAACGCACACCCGAATTGTCTGGGTGGTCAGAACCAAGCTGAACATCCAAATTCTGGACCTGACCCTTGTAAGAATCAGAATCAGGATCTGGATCTAACCACCCACAGATTTGAGAGTGTTCAAACTCCAGAACACTACATTACAGCTGAAGCCAGCTCTGACTTTGGATCAGATTTTTTAAAAATTGTCAGTTCTCCTTTAGGCATCACAATTTGTTGCCCGATTTCCAAAAATGCTCAGCTCGCTAAGTGCATGTTTGGTGCTGAGCTATTCTGAATGTCTTGCCCTGTCATAATGGAGCTACCAGATACTTTTACCTTGAGAACATCTTGAGTGCCACGCACTTGAAATCTGGTCCTGAGCTCTTCTGAAAAACTAGCCCTGAGGTCATGAGGGCCTCATCCCAACCTTCACCTGGTTGAAAAGTATCTATTGAAATTGTTTTTCAGTGGGGAAAAACAATGATTTTTTTAATGAAATGAGACACTTTCCAAGGAAAATTTTGTCTTTTCTTTGAAAACCCACAAATCAAAATGTTGTTGGTTCAGCCAAAATTTTTCAGATCTTGTTTTGATGATGAAAAGTCAAAGTTTTCCATGGTGGAGGCAGAGTGGGGGCTCTTTCAGCTACTTCAACAATACAAATAGTAAGCAAGTCTGTTGCTGGTTTTTTTTGTAATATGTAACATGCTGTCTTAGGCTATGTTTTTTTTTTTTATAATATGTAACATGCTGTCTTAGGCTATGTCTACACTGTGGAGCTATTTTGGGATACTGGAAGTATCCTGAAATAGCTGTTCTGTGCCTTTAAAACCGCCCATTATTTCAAAATAGATTTCGAAAAAATGGGCACACTATTGCAGCATCTCTGTAACTCTTGTTGCATGAGGGTTAAGGGACATTTTGGATTAGCTCTTTTTTTAAAAAATGTGATGCAGTGTAGACGTGCCAAATTTCAAAATAAGCTATTTTGAAATTACCTCAAAATAAGCAAAGCAATTTTGCAAACTGCATGGCTTATTTCGAGGTAAGGGAGCAATGTAGACGCATCCTGTCACTGTGTAACTACCTTGGGGAAGGGATTTTGTTCTTTGGAGAACTTAAATTTATTTTAGGGGTCTCTCTACTGTAGTCAGAGGGTGTGACTACAGCATATTTAGACATGCCTGAGCTAGCATAGGTCTATCCAGCTCAGGTACCAATGCACTGCAGCGTAAGCTGGCCATCAAAATAAGTTGCCAAGATCCCAAGCAGGTTTTTACAGCCCATGCTTCCTTGGCTTTGTGGCTCTAGTAACTGAGGGTATGTCTACACTACCCCGCTAGTTCGAACTAGCGGGGTAATGTAGGCATACCGCACTTGCAAATGAAGCCGGGATTTGAATTTCCCGGGCTTCATTTGCGTAAGCCGGGCGCCGCCATTTTTAAATCCCGGCTGGTTTGAACCCCGTGCCGCGCGGCTACACGCGGCACGAACTAGGTAGTTCGGACTAGGCTTCCTAGTTCGAACTACCATTACTCCTCGTGAAATGAGGGTTACAGTAGTCGGAGTAAGAAGCCCATTATTTGGAAATTATTTTTGAAATAACGTGCTTGCTGTGTAGACACACACACTGTTATTTTGAAATAACAGAGCTACCCATTCAGCTAGGCCCCGCCTTAGAGCATGGTGAGCAAGGCGGTTGCCTTTGGCCTTGTACCTTCAGGATCCCACGCTGCCCGACCACTCGCTCGCTCCCCTGGCTGGGTCCCACTGTCAGTGTGCTGCCTTGGGCCCCACAAACTCTTTGGCCGGGCCTACATTCAGTTCTCTGAAAATTCTGCTGCAGCAGGATTGTAGCAACTCAAACCCTTCCCCTTGTGCTTTAGAAATTGAGAAGGCCTGAGCTGCAAATTTTTGATCCTCCATGTGGCATAAAGTGCAGAACCGCACAGAGCGCTGGCTGGCTTTCCTCAGAGTTTTATACCTGTTTTCACAAGTTGTCTGCCATCACACAGCGCGCAACCCTGCCTCTACCATGCAGCTTCATATTCCTCTTAACGATGCCCTCACAGCACAGAGCCACTCCGTGGTGCTGGCAAGTTGCAGAGTGTTGCTAGCGCTACTCCTAAATGGAGTAAGTGGTGATGCTCTTTAATGTGTTAATTCCTAGTGGAGGTGAGCTGAATATGCCACACTGGGTACAGGGGCGATTAGTCCTGTGCACTTTATAGACTAACTGAAGTGTAGGAGCATAAGCTTTCATGGGCAAAGACCCACTTCGTCAGATGCATGACCAAGTGGGTCTTTGCCCACGAAAGCTTATGCTCCTACACTTCAGTTAGTCTATAAGGTGCCACAAGACTCCTCGCCGCTTTTGCAGATTCAGACTAACATGGCTCTGATACTGGGTATAGGTGGCTCATGGTAGCACCACCCCCTTATGCCCCCACCAAAATTTGAATTGCTAAATGGGGTGCCCCACATGCCTGGCCTCCCCCTCTGGGGAGCCCTTCTTTCACCCCTTCTCCCCACAGGCACCAATGGATAGAAGGTTTTTAATGAACAAAAGGAAATTGTTCTTTTTGCAGTGTATAGTCAACCTGTGGAACTCCTTGCCAGAGGAGGTTGTAAAGACCAGGACTTTAACAGGGCTCAGAAGAGAGCTAGATACATTCATGGAGGTTAGGTCCATCAATGCTTATTAGTAAGGCTGGGTAGGAATGGTGTCCCTCACCTCTGTTTCTCAGGAAATGGATTACGGGGAGGGATTACGTGAGGATTCTTTATTGTGTTCCCTCCTTCTTGTGCACTTGGCATTGGCCACTGTCAGCAGACAGTACACTGGGCTGGATGGACCTCTGGTCTGACCGACTAATCCCCTCTGACACTGAGTAACTATTTCTCTAACTACCACCCCTCTGACTCATACTTCAGACATAGCAGCCATGGAATTGGGGGTTAGAAGGCACAATGGGGCAAGAACACATATCAGATAGCTGTCTTTCCCTCTGCATGAGCCTCCCATTTCTCCTCCACCAAACAGGGGCCCTTTTCAGGTCTCCTCCAGGCTGGATAAGTGGAAGGCAGACCATGTGGCATATGATGATCTCTTTGGCATTCTGCCTCCATCAGACTAAGAGGAAACATTCTCCCTTTCAGACTCCTCAAAGAACATCTGGGAGAGAAAGAAGTGGAATTAACATTAACTTTTGATGCAGTTGGGGAGCCAGACCTGGCTAACTACACCTGCCATGTGGAAAACCGAAATGGACGTAAGCATGCCAGTGTCCTTCTGCGTAAAAAAGGTATTGAACTCCTATGTCTTAGAGAACGGGACAGAAATCCTGGCTTTGCTGCAGGGACTGGCAAAACTCTCCTTGATGTCAAAAAGCCAGGATTTCCCCCTGTGTGCTTATTGCAACTAACACACATGCTCCTTGTGGCATACATTTACCATTACATGCAATATTATTCTAAATAACTAGCGAGCTCTTCTTTGGGCTCACTGAGGGGTATGTCTAGACTGCATCCCTCTGTCGGCAGAGGGATGCAGATTAGGCAGGTTGACACTGCAAATGAGGCAGGGATTTACACATCCTGTGCCAAATTTGCATAAAAATGGGCACCACGTTTTGCTGACTCTGCACTTTGTCGGCAAAAAGTGGCAATCTAGAGGGGGATCTGTCAAGAAAGAAAGCCTTTTTCGACAGATCCCTTACACCTCCTGCACGGAGGTTTACAGGATCTGTCGAAAAAGACTTTCTTTCTCGACAGATCCCTTTCTAGACTGCCGCTTTTTGCCGACAAAGCGCTGAGTCGGGAAAATGTGGTGGCCATTTTTATGCAAATTAGGCACGGGATATTTAAATCCCTGCCTCATTTGCAGTGTCGACCTGCCTAATCTGCAACCCTCTGCCGACAGAGGGATGCAGTCTAGACATACCCCTCAGTGAGATATGGCCTCAGCTTCAATGGAGTCAGTGAAAGGGTTTCAGTTTAAACCAGCTGAAAACACACACTATTTAATTCACGGTTTTCAGATTTCTCCTGTATCGTATTTCTACTGAGTAAACTGAGTGTTTTAAACAATACCGGTATCTGCTGATTTATTACAGGAACAAGAACAAAAATGCTGCTGCAGAGGAGGCTGTTAATTAATGGACCATTATGTCACCATTGGGTTATCTTTACCAGGCTATTTGCAGGATGCCCTTTGTTGAGAATGGCAAATATTGCAATTGTCATGTATCTGAGTGCTCTGGGTTGCAGATGACTAGAAACATCCAAATTAGTAGTATTCTTTTAACAAACTCTGTGGTTTTGAACAATCCACTGTCTCAGAGAGAACGTAAACAACATCTCATTAGAATCCTTCCCCTGTTGTTAATAGCAGCATCCTCTCATATTTGTAAGTAGGATGACATTTAGTGTGAAAGACCCCATTAACCTTTCTCCACTGCCAGAAACTGGTCCCATTTGCCAGAAACTGTCTCACACATGTAATTATGCTCAGTAGTGTGGACACCGCTTGCTTTTTACTGCCGCGTATCGCTCTACATACCCAACATGTGCCATGTAGACACGGAGATTCCCACTCAGTCTAAAATGAAGCATTCCAACTGGAGCATTGTGTCTGTTGGAAAAGCAAAACAGAGTTATGTACCAGGATTGAGGCATAAAAATCTGTTGAAAGTAAAGTCGCCTTCCCCACCCGATACTCTCAAAAGAGTGAGCAAATTGGATGCTTTGCTACCACAGTGCCTCTCAACCTTTTTTTATAAAGTGCCACTTTAAAAAAAATTATAAGTACACCCAGTACCTACAGTTTTCAGACACACAACGTTGTTTCCTACCATTGCAACACATTTGTTTAAACAACTTAATCGTAGCTGGGCAGGTGATGATGTTTTTGGGTGTAAAAAATACAAAAGTAATAAAGCACTGTAAAACGTAAAACAAAAATTCGGTTTTCTCCAAATTTCAGTTGTGTTGACGTACCCCCAGACTTCTTTCGAGTAAAGGATACCCTTAAGGGTACTCGTACCACTGGTTGAGAAACACTGTGCTACTGTATTACTCTTGCTTGTAAATGCATTTACTAGAAAAGGAAAGTGATGTTTATATGTACACCTAGGAACTTCAATATAAAGATTGCTAAATCACTCCTTTATTTCCTTTACTGAACATTTGGGATGCACAAGGAATAGTAAGAAAACACTAGGCATTTGAGAATGCTAATGGCGCTACATAAGAAATATCGCTGATACAGAATATGGAGTTTGAAAAGAACACTTTTCAATTAGTTTTTCATCTCTCCTTGCATTGTGACTGGATACACTTCATATTCTCCCGAGAGTACCACCAACAGTGAAATTTCAAATCTTGCTTTGAATAGCCCCATTAGGGATTATTCCAGACACTTCACCGCTTGTCTTCATTGGTTAATTGCTTGACTATTTAGAAAGTTCCTCTAACATTAACCTAAATTTCCTTATTGCACCCTAATAATTCCAGACACTTCACCGCTTGTCCCATTGGTTAATTGCTTGAATATTTAGAAAGTTCCTCTAACATCAACCTAAATTTCCTTATTGCACCCTAATCTAATTGCTTCTTATCCCATCCTAATTGCCCTTTGTGTGTATAGACTTATAAAATGCCCACAGATCTGGAAATATTAATCATGATGCTCTAGCTGATAATATTAAGAAACAAAAAAGAAAGTCAAATAAATGATGAATGGAGTTTCTGCATTTCGGCACTGATCCCTTAAAGCACATGGCTAACAAGGAAACTAGAGCCAAGAAAACTGCTCATCTGCTCATATTAAACATGTGCTTAAGTCCTTTAGTGGATTGGTGTTTTAGTTGTCTTGCAAATGGAAAGGATAAACACCCACAACTGTACCTAGGCATCAAGAAATATTGATGTAGCCACACAGGACTGGTGTTTTATCTAATTATTTGGGAGTCAGGATCATACAGAGTGGAGCAATTTTGGTACAAATGAAACAACTTCAGAGGTGGCTTTACATGGAAATCAATCTGAATGTTACACTTATGAAAATAAAGACGCAGGTGTGTTCCTGACCCGTGAAGATCATAGTGTATTCTGCATTTGTTTCTTCACTGGTGTCTTTCAGACAGGGCCAGCCTGAGCCATTCGTGCGCCCCGGAGGCGCAGCGCCGCCCCCAGAGCGCGACGTATGCACGGCCCCGCCCTCAGGTGCGCGGCATCCCCAGACACCCAGCAGAGCGCGACATATGCATGGCCCCGCCCCCAGGTGCGCGGCATCCCCAGACACCCAGCGCATGCACAGCCCTACCCTGGGCACGTGGCACATGCGTGGCCCTGCCCACAGCCCAGCAGCCCCGCACGGCGCCACCTACAATGGGGCGCCCCAGGCGGTAGCACAATCAGCCTGTAGCTTGGGCCAGCTCTGCTTTCAGAGACACTTTATTATTTGCTTTGATATATTTTAAAATGTATTTTCTACGTGGTCTTTGCCACCACATTGCCTGAGTATGCCTGTTACTTGGGAGTCGGTAGGTTGTGCAGTCCTCATGCACCTACCAGCAACTTCCCTCAGTAAATAACAAGGAAACAGCCTAGAATTCCCTTTAGATGAATCTCTGAGCAAAAAGGAATATCTAAGCACACTATAAAATGAGCATCTTAGCACACGAACAGCGTGTCGGGAGTAGGGAGGTTAAATATTGGTTAATTGAATAATTGAGTAACCTCATGAATTCTTATCGGTTAGTCGATTATTCTATAGTCCCTGGGGGCGGGGCCAGCAGCAGTGCGGGGTGCTAGGCAGGAGCCAGTTTAAAAACCTGCTCCTCTAGCAAACTGGCTGCTTGTCACCAATGTTGCTGCCTCTGATAAAGAGGCAGCAGTGCAGGGTGGCAGCAGCTCTTATCTGGAGTGGGAGGAGATCTGAGCTCCCAGACCCGGCACGAACTGGAACTGATCTGGGCTGCCTGCCCACCCGGCTCTTAATCACTTTAAAGGCAGAGCCACACTGTGGGTAGGTCCCGGACCCAGTGTCAGCCAGAACTACTTTAAAGGCAGAGCCACACCGTGGGTAGGTCCCGGACCCAGTGTCAGCCAGAACTGAGCCGGGCTGTTGGCCAGCCTGCTAAAAATTTACTGGGTGGGGAGAGGGGTGGAAATGTGTGTAGTCCATAGCATTAACCTATAAGCTTTTGCTTATCAGTTAATTGGTTAATCGAAACTCCATTCATCAATAGCTGGGATATTTAGTGTGGTCTGTAGGAGGTACAAGTTGGGGTAACGGAATGTAATTAAGACAAACATTTCAGATGAATGTAGAGCTATCCAACCGTGGAGCAGTCTCCTGTAGAGAGTTGTGCTAACTGCATCATGCAGGACTTTGAAAACTAGCACTGAGAAATGCAGAGTAGAAAATAATCCTGCATATGCAGGGCCACTTTTTCCCCCTCGTGCATCTGAGGGACTATGCTTCCTTGCTGGAGAACAGCGATGCTGTGAATTGAAAATAAATGGAGGCTACCTGATAGTGAATTACTGAAACATGAAACTAAGCCGGAAATGTGCCTGCCTGATGTTCTTTTTTTAACCTGAACAGGACATCCGGGAACTAATGGTGCATTTTCAGATCACCTAAGTTTTTGTGAACTTTATGCTTCGAAACTTTATTCCTTGTATCATCCTAGTTCTTTGCTTTATGTCTCTTCGAACCCTATTTGTCAAAGTGGTAAATATCTGCACTGACAGCTTGTGTAAAGTAATCTGGGCTGTTGGTGATAGCTGTGTCAGTTTGTCGTCTTTAAGTTTTATGGGTGGATGAGCGGCAAAGCAAGGCAGAGTAATTGTGGTCTCTATTCTATGTCTGAGGGGACATTTCAGTCTGATAATGGGCACCTCCAGTGCTACAGGTTTAGTCATTGTAAATCATTCCAGCTTTTGTCATTGGTTTGTCAATGACAGGCAGGGTGTCCTAGGGCAGCGGTTCCCAACCTTTTTGATTCCAGGGACGGCCTGGTTCACAAACTTTTGGCGGGCTGGTAACGTTTGCATATTTCATATTCATTATTTGTATAATAAATATGCAAATATTCAAATAAAATGTTACCGGTGCACCAAAAGCCCTGGCCTCCAGGGTCCCCCAGTGCCAGCTCTAACCCCTAGAGCCCCCCACCCCTTCAGTACCACCCAGCTCCAGCCCTGACCCGAATCC